TAACAATAATTTTCCATATAAAAGTCTGAATATTAAACCCAGAGGTGACGAGGAAGAGATGGATTTATTTCTTTCTCAAGGGTAATACTGTACAAATTTAAATATAGTGGGAGTTTTTACGACCATTGTTTTTTTTTAAGTAAAAATAGGGGGTCACGGTATACAGAGGTATTTTTTTTAAAAAGGTTAAAAATCATGCATTTTCGGTAACCGGTTACACTATACGAAAGTAATATTTCTAGAAAGATTAAAATTAATGTAAAGAAATCATGGTTCGCGCTAAACACGTTGTAGGTTCATAGACGGTCAACGAATGGAACGAACCCGATGGGAATATCGAACGCGGTCCTCCAGTTTCCCAGTCTGAGTCGCTAACCGTTACGCCAGCCCGTATAAAACGATGACAGCCTCTAGCTGATGATGCTAGGTACAGATGTATATGGCAAGTTAGCACCACTCGCACACCCAGCACATTAAAGAAGACGAAAACGGAGTTGAAAAACAAACCGCCCAGTGGAAGGTCAACTCTGAATTATGAAATTCTTGAAATATTGTTTCCAAAATGGTTTCGACAAGTGGTTTCAAGTAGCAGAAAGACATCGCCGCTTGTGGAGACTCATTTTCAAATGTCATTTTATAGACAAAGAGGTACACACGCACACATATATTTGTATATATCTCACCTTAATAAAAGATGTATGGCATGGCAGTCATTAGTTTCTGAGTAACGTTTGTAATATATATTTTCTTATATGATACATAAGAGTGATACATTTGAATAATGTCACGAGCGGACACCATTTTCAACGGTGACTGTCTGTATCGATTTTGTACGAATGCCATTTGAGAAAGACATGGTTCGAACTTGCATACTGTTCTATTGACTTTAACCAATAATGGTATTTTATTAATGTATATCGCTCATCTTCCAGTTGGGGACATTTTGTTTACTTCCCTTTAATAACCAGGATGGGAACTCATTTTAAGAAGATTAGCAATCAGATCAGTAGGTAGCTAATTATATATATATATATATATATATATATATATATATATATATATATATATAACAACAATAATATTCCACCCCAACAATAAAGTGTCTCGCGAGAACCAGAAATTAAAATAAAACCCAGTGACAACCCAAAATGAAATACTAATTCTACTACTTGACAATTGCTTCGGTATGAAACTCAGTGTTGTGCAATCAATGGAAGGTGTTATGCATATTTTTAATATATATATATTAAATATCTTTGTTATTTAACATTGAGCCCAGTTTTTTCCTATACTATAGAGTATTTATATGTATATGATCCATCCTTCGTATACCTACCTATATTTACCCATTCCGTTATATATATATATATATATATATATATATATATATAATGAAATGGACAAAGTCCAACAATTATTTTAAGACATTTTTTATGTTTATACTTTCTTTTTATAGATACAAATATTTAAGTAAATGCTCTGTTTCTAATAAGCAGTATTAACGACATTTACCGGCCTGAATGTCCAAGAAATTTTCATAGAAAATATGCGTTCTCCGACTGGAATCGAACCTGTATCCTAAACGGAACTGTCATATAGACTGACGTGCTTTACCGATTGAGCCACATACGAGCGTTTCGGTTAACAAGATCGATTTTACTGTTTTTAAATTCATGGAGAATTGTAATTGTTTTTATTTCCTTTGATTTCTGGCTCCCAGAGACCTAAGGTTAGAAATGGCATCATCACACTTTTCACTGACACCCCTAAAACCCGAAAAAACAACAACAACAAAAAAAAAACACGTATTTTACATAGATAAAACCCTTCCTAAAGTGTGGGCTGTACTTGTGAGAACAAATTTTTGTATTTCTCTAAAGCATGGGCTACCATGAATCCTTTCAATTATTCTACTGGAATCTTTTCCAACTTATCCTAGGGCACCAACTACAACAGGGATTGTTGATGTTCCCATATGCTACATTTTTGAGATTTCTATTTCAAGGTCCTTGTATTTTGACAGCTTTTTGAATATCTTCAAAGATACATTGCAGTCAGCAGGGACTGCCATATCAATAAGAAGGCATCGTTTTTGTTTGTGGTCTTTAATAACAATATCTGGCCGGTTGGCTTTGATTGTTCTGTCAGTGTGTATTGCTTAGTCCCATAGAATTGTAACAGGTCCTATATCCGGAACCGGGTCTGGGTGGTGTTCATACCAGTTTCTTTCAGTTTCCTTCCCGTAGAAGTTGCAGATTTTCCAGTGCAGATATTGGCCCACTCTGTCATGCCGGGTTTTATACTCAGTGGGTGCCAATACCGTGGAACCTGATACAAGATGATCAATCGTTTCTGGATATTTATCACAAAATCTGCATTTGGGGCTAACACATTATTTTAGTATATATGCTTGATAATTCCTAGTTAACAAGCATTGGTCCTGTGCAGCAAAGATAAAAACTTCAGTTTCAGCTTTCAACCCTGCACTACGTAGCCACTGATGGGTACGGGTTTTGTCTACGTCAGCTTGTTTGGTACGAGCAGAGTATTGGCCATGAAGCGGTTTATCTTGCCATTGTTTCTGTATCTGGTCAGTTGCATTTGTCTTTGCTCTCTTTATTATTATTATTATTATTATTATTATTATTATTATTATTACTATCGTTGGCTACACATATCAAATATTTTATACAGACTTTAAAATACTGCCTCCTGTGGTGAAAGATATTTTATGTAAGGTGGGTTGTTTCTTTTCTATAATAAGAGACTCGAGTATTTTCAATCTTTCTTGACCTTGAATGCTGCATTTTGTGTATTTTTGGTGACTGCGATTTGAGGACATGTAACCTCTTGTACGCAATCTTATATGTTTTCTTATTCTAAATATTAAACCCGTAAATATTGGCTCTCCCGTCACAAATTTACCTCAACGCACAAAGATTGCACCAATGATTCTCGTGTATAAAAATTCGATGACAATAAACAGGAACTTACGGTTAAACATGAATACATGAGCCATAATCAATTTCAGGGTCTATGAGTGAAGCGTGTGAGCGACTAGATCGATTGATGCAGTCGAATATGGCTTATTTGTCGGCAACAGTCGATTCCGATGATATGCAGTACTTCCCTCTCACAGTAGATGCACCCCATTCACCCCCATTGTTTTCGTCGACCCTTTCTCATTGTCGTCTTTTACTTTTCTCGGCTTGCCATATAGTCTCTTTCTTTCTTTCTGTTCTTTTCTTTTATCTTCATTTCTTTCCTTCTTTTTTTCCTTCTCCTTTCCATTTTCTTTCTCTTCTAGTTCTTCTTTTACTCCCCCTGACTCCCTTCTCTGTTTTCATTTCTCACCATTCTCTTCTCCACCCCCACCTCATCTTCTATTTCTTTTTTCCTTCTCTTCCTCTTCACTCCTCCTCCTTTCTTTTCGCCACTAGTCTTTGACTTATCTTACTTCAGCTCTTTCGTCCACATCTAGTCAACTTTTCTCAACTGCTTCTTCGTTCTTTGTCATTATTTTCTTTTTCATTTTCTTTTTCTCTTCATTTTTCTTCTCAGCTTTTTCCCTTCTCTTTCGCCATTATTTTCTTAACTTTTCGTTATCCTCTTCCTTATTACTTTCTCCCCATACTTTCTATTTTAACTGGTTTTTCACTTCTTCTTCTTCTTCTTCTTCTTCTTCTTCTTCTTCTTCTTCTTCTTCTTCTTCTTCTTCTTCTTCTTCTAATCTGCTCCTCATTCAACGTTCTCCTTACTATTAGTTTTACTTTCTTCCTTATGAACACCATATCTAACTTTCAGTATTTCACAATTCTTTTCTTTCTTCTTTTCCTTCTCCTTTCTCTTTTACCCTTTCTTTATTTTATCCTTTTTTATTCTTTCCCCTCCTTTTTTCCTTTCTCCTTACCTTTTTCTTTTCCTCTTCAATTATTTTTCTTTTCATTTCACTCTTCTCCTTCGCCATTATCTTATTTCTTATTCTTTTCTCCTCCTTTCCAGTTCTTACTTCTTTTTTACTATTCTTTCATTAGTATTTTCTTCCTTTCCTTTTTCTTCACCCAGTCTCATCTCTCCCACTTTTGACTTTCTCTTCGTTGTTCTCTTCCTTCCTCGCCTCCTACTTTTTTCATTATCTTCTTTATTCCTTCCCCCTCCTCCTCTTTTCCATTCTTTTCATAACTTTTCTCTTTCTCATTGCACTTTTCCTTTCCTATTCTCTTTTTCTTTCTTGCTCTTCTTCTCTTCCAATTACTTCTTCCCCTCCTTTAACCTTTTCACGCTTTTCTCCTCCACCTTTTCATTCTCCTCCTCCTTTATATTTCCTCCTTCTTCTTCCTAATACTTACTTCTGGTACTTTCTTGTTATGGCGTTTATTCCTTTCTCGTCTGTTTTCTTCATTTATCTGCTTTTGAAAACTACATTCTCTTTTCTCTTCGTTTTATCTCTCTTCTTGATCCGCAGTCTTGAGTGTATATTATTCTCTCTTATTTTCAATACTACTTTTTTTCCTTCTTTGAATTACTCACATTCCAACTAGCAAGGTTAATCAATGCTGCTCAGATTTAAATAATGCTGAGTTTATCATTAATAATTTGCTTAATATGATTGTCTGATCAGCATCAGCCGAGCTTAGGAAAGAAATAAATAGATGTAAATGAGAAATAGAGACGAGCGTATTCATCCTTTTTGATCTGATATCAAAACGGAATATCGCAAAATCTTTTACTGCATTTTTAATTCTAATTGAATAAAAAATATTTTAATGTAATCATAAGCAGTTTATCTGGAATCGTTTCGAAACAATTCTATTTACCGAGTTTTGAGAATTTCTTAAATTTAAGATAAAAACATTTTTCGTCAATATTATAAACTCATAACAAGGTTAGCCACGATTTAAATTCATAACAAAAGATTTATCTTCTTGTATTAAAATGAAGATAAGTGAATTAAACAGACATTGTAATTGTGTGTACAAATACATTTATATAATTCTGCCTGTTTGTCAGAAAATCAGACATAGAGACGAACTAAATTTTTTCATATCAAATATTTTGGTTTAATATTTTTCAAATCAAATATCAAACTATTTTCCATATCAAATATCAAAATATTTTCCATATCAAATATCAAAATATTTTTGATATCAAATGTTTTGGTTTAATATTTTTCAAATCAAATATCGAAATATTTTTCCTATCAAATATTTTGGTTTAATATTTTTCATATCAAATTCCAAAATATTTTTCATACCAAATATCAAAATATTTTTCATATCAAATATTTTGGTTTAATATTTTTCAAATCAAATATCAAACTATTTTCCATATCAAATATCAAAATATTTTCCATATCAAATATCAAAATATTTTTTGATATCAAATGTTTTGGTTTAATATTTTCAAATCAAATATCGAAATATTTTTCCTATCAAATATTTTGGTTTAATATTTTTTCATATCAAATTCCAAAATATTTTTCATACCAAATATCAAAATATTTTTCATATCAAATATTTTGGTATAATATTTTTCAAATCAAATATCAAAATATTTTCTATATCAAATATCAAAATATTTTCCATATCAAATATCAAAATATTTTTGATATCAAATGTTTTGGTTTAATATTTTTCAAATCAAATATCGAAATATTTTTCCTATCAAATATTTTGGTTTAATATTTTTCATATCAAATTCCAAAATATTTTTCATACCAAATATCAAAATGTTTTTGATATCAAATGTTTTGGTTTAATATTTTTCAAATCAAATATCAAAATATTTTTCATATCAAATATCATAATAAATTTCATTTCAAATATTTTGGTTTAATGAATGCAAAATCTATGAAAAAGTAAAATTAATGTAAATCGAGATACCATTGTATAGCGTATTGGAGAACTGGTAAAATTTTGATCGACTTGATTTATTAAAACACCACATCTCTTCAGGGTTTAGGCAACCATGGTTCTTCATAGTCTCAGTTTAACTTTAATATCAGAAAACTCTGTGTTGCTATGGCTCCTCTTGAGACATAGAGCAAAAGTAGTTTCTACGTGGCTTCAAATTCACCGTTGTTTTTTTATAAGATCATTTGTCATTTAAGGCTCCCTTTACTCTGTTATTTAATCCTTATCTGGGAGACGCATATTCATGCCTCAGTTAAAGAGCATTTGTGCTAAAGTGATCGCAATAGATTAGCTTTGAGTCCCAGCCATCATCAAGAAGCGAATGCTGTCAGTAGAAAAACTCTGTTGGCTGAATTCTGATACTTTTTTTGGGAACGCAAGAATTCAAATTAACTTTAAATATATGCATATCGTATAAATGATGTCCCGTAAGAACGTCTTCACAAAGCTCGACTGCACCGAAAAAGAATATATAAAATATTTTATATGAGTTATCGTTATTATTTTATACGTATATTAAATATACACACTTTAAAATGTCATCTCCGGTTTGTTTCTTTGTATTTTAATAGCTTCGAGTATTTTGCGTCTTTCCTTACCATGAGTACTATACTATATTACTTTGGTATTATCTACTAATATTTCTCTTATGATGTATATGGTATTTTTGCCATGTGATGATAAGTAAAAGAATCAACATGCATTAATTTTTTTTAAATTTAACATTTATAAACACTACATTGGCCCCTCAGAAATATATTGCCTGAAAAGAAAACCAATATATAGTGAGGTTACGGAGTGGTAGCCTCTCCATATATTAATCCAATAGAAAACTTGTGATATATTATTCAAGGAAATGTATATGAAAATATGTATAAGAAGATGTATATGTATATGTAAATAGAAAACACTATTAAAGCGAAGATCTCTGAGAAGCGATGCAAAGAGTTGAAAGCAATTTTAATGTCGCAAGAAAAGAGAAGTTGTGAAAAGTCAAGAGTAAAAAAAAACGACTTGGAACGTGAAGAAACCCATATTAACATGCAAAATACTAACTGATAATTTAGCTAATCTCTGTTTTAAAATATACAGGCTGTCCATAGAGTTCGTGTGCACTTTAAAAAAATTATAACGTTATTTGTATTTGCGATAGAAATAATCTGTAAAAAATGTTATAAAGTTTAATGTACCTAGTTTTAAGTATAGCTAAACTAACTAACGTGATTTCAGGCATTACTGTAAATCAGTTGGATAATGTTTTCCGTGAACTGCAAAATGGTATTACCCTTTGTATTGTTAATGATGGAGGGCATGTGGAAACTTAAATAAAATTTCAATAAAACCTTAAAAATATATAGATTTACATCTTTCTAATCCTTTTTACAAATTATTTCTATCGCAAATACAAATAAAGTTATAATTTTTTATCCCGTGGACGAAATAAAGGGTTCAGTTTGAAATTCCAATCGCCTGAAGAAGGCCGGAGCGTACAACAGCCGAAACGTCGTGAATATGGCAATGAAGATGACAGTAATTATACGATGTAATAACAATATTATAATGTAAATAATACACCCGAAAGTATATATTTTATTAACACGATGATTAGTTAAATTACCATTTCTTATTTTGCATGTTAATATGTGCTTCTTGACTTTCCAAGCTGTTCTTTTGACCATTGGCTTTTCACAAATCGTCTTCTCTTTCGCAGACGGATCCTCCAGCAATCGCTCCGTACACTCGTCAGAAGTATCAGCAATATATGTGTGCGTGTGTAAATATGCACAGAAAGAGAAAATCAGTTATTAATCTTTTCGAGAAATTTGGTATTTACCTCTGTTCATGTGTGTTGGTAGTCTATAAAACTGTGAAAATGTGGCCTTTACCTCTATTCATGTGTGCTGGTAGTCTATAAAACTGTGAAAATGTGGCCTTTACCTGTATTCATGTGTGTTGGTAGTCTATAAAACTGTGAAAATGTGGCCTTTACCTATATTCATGTGTGTTGGTAGTCTATCAAACTGTGAAAATGTGGCCTTTACCTATATTCATGCGTGCTGGTAGTCTATAAAAGTGTGAAAATGTGGCCTTTACCTCTATTCATGTGTGTTGGTAGTCTATCAAACTGTGAAAATGTGGCCTTTACCTATAGTCATGTGTGCTGGTAGTCTATAAAAGTGTGAAAATGTGGCCTTTACCTCTATTCATGTGTATTGGTAGTCTATGAAAGTGTGAAAATGTGGCCTTTACCTCTATTCATGTGTATTGGTTGTCTATGAAAGTGTGAAAATGTGGCCTTTACCTCTATTCATGTGTATTGGTTGTCTATGAAAGTGTGAAAATGTGGCCTTTACCTCTATTCATGTGTATTGGTTGTCTATGAAAGTGTGAAAATGTGGCCTTTACCTCTATTCATGTGTATTGGTTGTCTATGAAATGTGTGAAATTCATGTGGCCTTTACCTCTATTCATGTGTATTGGTTGTCTATGAAAGTGTGAAAATGTGGCCTTTACCTCTATTCATGTGTATTGGTTGTCTATGAAAGTGTGAAAATGTGGCCTTTACCTCTATTCATGTGTATTGGTAGTCTATGAAACTAAACTCTTTCTCCGTCATTGATCGGAGGATTGACGGGAGTGTCCAGCATGGATGTTAAAATTGCTGACAGTAATGGTTTCCTTTTCCTATCACTTCCAGGGTAATCGACCGGAAAGCAACATCGACGCTTCATAAATAGTTTAGCTATATAATTCCTGCGGTTTGCAATTTGAAATGGTTGGCAATTTGCTTATAAATTCGAATGTCCTTTTTGTTGTTGTTTGGATATGTAAATAGCGATAATGTAGGTATGTCGTCAAAAGGAACGAGAAAAAAAGAAAAAGCTTACTTTGTTGTATTTTGCTTGATATTACTGTAGATTGAAAGGATATATTTTGTTGACAGAGGAAATGAGAAAATGGAAGTCGGCCTTTAACGTATTGTCCATAGACTGGGAAGCTTTATTTTTTTTTGTCAAGGGCTTCTTATCACAAAATCATTTAAATGTAATAGAATAACATCTGCTTCGTTCGCCTGATATACTCTGAAGTGTTTTAAGCTTGCAAGAAATTAATTATTCATGTTATAATTGCATTGCGATTGTCTTGCCGTCAAATGTTATTAAAACAGACTGTTTATTTTGTCTAGTAAGGATTATGACATTTTTGGATATCTTTTAGATCGGTTGTGCAACAGTGGTGTAATTTAGCAATTAATTGGGAAAAAAATTACTGCGCAAGTAGAAACGATACTCTTCCGTGAAGTAACTCAGTCGATAGCTCAGATTTATCTCTTTCAGGCTTCTAGCTGAAGCCGTAGACAAGGATGTAGATTTTATACCGTGGGCGAGATTAAGGAGAATTTACTAGACGCCCGATCACAAAGTGGAACTGACGTTGTAGAATGTATGCAGCGCTCCAAGGAGGGTATTCTAAAAGGGTCAAAGGTACCATCGCCCACCGTAGCCTACTTTACTGTATCTCAATAGTCAATATAGTACCGCGCTTAAATTTTATCTATAAAAGGGGAAAGCTCATTAGGAAAATTACAGTGAAAATATTTATTGAGAAAGGCAGAGGGAAGCTACCTTGCGGCATTGGTAAATGAACGAAGCCAATATGCATATCAGGATCGATATGAAGAGAAAACCGATAATTGAGGTGAATAATATACCGAGTGTAACAGCAGAATTGTCCAAATCGTGTTACAACTTAATTGTCTATTCCAAAAAGTGTTTAATATCTAAAGAAAAGCACTGAACTACTTGACTTTCTCTTTTCCAGGATTTCAGATAAGTCATCTAGACACCATTTGTCTGTCGTGAGAATCACTGAAAAACCCTTTGAGTTAACATAATTTTGTGCCAGCCCCACTATATCTTCCCAACTGAGCAATGGCGAGAGGAAAAAGATCATTCAGGCCTTCAACAATGGTGCCAACATTCATGATCTGGCTTGCATCTTCAAAGTCCATTCAAGAACCATCAAGAGAACGTTAAAAAAAAGAGGGATCAGTTGATAGAAAAACTGGATCAGGAGGTCACAACGGCAAGTGGGATCATCATTACAAGATAAAGAGATAATTTAGAAAAGGTCTAACTCAATCCATAAGACGTTTGGCACGTGAGAGAGAAGTTTCAGCTATGACAGCCCAAAAAGCAGCGAAAAAACCTTGAAAATGAAATTATACGTGAAAACTGCGAGGCACCTTGTTACTCCAAAACAGAAGGTTAGGAAGTTAAAGAGGGCAAAGATCATCTTGAATAAATTGGAAAATGATCCTGGAATAATATATACATATATCTGAACTTTTTTTTAAATCATTCATTAGCTTCCGATACTTAGCTATGATTATTCAGTGGCGAACATGTCATTTTCGTCTATGATGGATTTCATCACGATGGATTTCATCACGATTCTTCTGTTAAGCTTCGAGAGTAATTATACATAGTTATTGCTCAAAGTAAAATCCAGTAGTGTTATAAAAACCTCGGAGAATTCCAGTAAGATATGTTTAATCATTTCAAAGCTTAATTAGACAATTTTGCTGTTACACTCGGCATATATATATATATATATATATATATATATATATATATATATATACTCGACTCTCCCGTCGAATTCGACGTATGAGGGTCAAGCAGATCAGTTCCCAGGAAACCAACAGCCCGACAACAGCTCAAGAGATTTGATTATAGGGGTGAGAGGTTTGTGCAAGACCATCCATACTTTTTGAAGGGCCGAATACAGAGACCTGGTGCACTACGTGCCACAAGGTCCACAAACAACCCTCCGCAGGTTTTAAATTCAGAGTTTCCTTCTCCTAGACCAGTTGCCATCCAAAGCTATAGAACACAGTCTCTCCTGCTATTTACCCATAGCTGGGGGGAGAGAAGAAGAGGATTCATATCTTTCCCAAGGGTAAGCGTAAGTGAATGTAATGGATTCGACTGGAATTCCAATCCAATCCAAGCCATTATCCATTACTCCACTATATATATATATATATATATATATATATATATATATATATATAGAGAGAGAGAGAGAGAGAGAGAGAGCAACCTCGGTTCGCGAACGTCTCACATGTCGAACGAATACGCTTTCGAAAAAATACCTCGGTTAACGAACAAACTTTACCGAACCTAGTTAATCCGAACGGAATCATTTCTCAGTCGGCAGCTGTGTTGTATACATTTGTGTGTTGTGGGGCGCTTTTATTTTCCAATTTTATTGTACTATGACTTTTTTTTCTCTCCATTGATCCCTATTGGAAAAATAATTTCGGTTTACGAACATTTCGTTTACGAACGGCCTTCAGGAACGAATTAACTTCGTAAATCGAGGTTCCACTATATATATATATATATATATATATATATATATATATATATATATATATATATATATAAATTATTTGCCTCAGAAATTTCAACTGTCACTTCCTGATGTTAAGTATAAGATTCCTTTTTGTTTCCATTTTGTCGAAAACGTCGTCTTTGCTCCCATATTCGGTTCATGGTATCCTCATCATCCTTCTGTATAACCACGTTTCTGTTGCTTCAAGTCTATTTTTCATCATTCCCTGTCATATAGGATAGATATCACACAACAGTTCAGTACACTTTTCTTTTTTTTTTCTAATGAAGTTTTTCTGTCTCTTAATACTCTGCTTAGCTTTTGGAAGGCCTCTTTCGCTATTCAGATTGCATCTTGGGATTTCGGTGTCGCACTTTCCGTCCTCTGTTAGAAAACTTCCCAGGTATTTAAATTTTTGTACTTGTTTGATTTTGGTATCTCCGATTTGTAATTTGAGTTCCTCGTTTTGCTAACAACAATGCATTCTGTCTTAGGGCAGTTGATGTTTAGTCCTTTCTTTTCGGCTTTTTTTCTCCACCTTCTGTAGGAACTTTTGTAGTTTTCTTTCCATGTCTGATATCAACACTGTGTCATCTGCATATCTTGTGTTGTTAAGATTGTGGCCGCCAATAATGAATCCTGGTAGGACTTCTAATTTTCTCAGAATCGCCTCGTTGTATAGATTGAATCTTTGTCTTACTCTCTTTTCTATTTTTGTATATCTGCTGAATACATCTTCAGTATTTTTGTACCAGTTCGATGTATTCACATTTTCAATTATGCTATGCTTTTTAACGCTGTGTTGTAACGGTTCTGCGAGCTTTACGATAGCTGACTGATTCAACCAAAGTTCCTCCATTAAATTTTATATGAAGCTCGGTAAACTTGCTATGAAATTTTTAGAAATGCTTTGCCTTAATAGTGGCGAGCTTTCTTTAGATCAAGCATAGCATTTTGAATGGTACGAGCGTTTACAGTGTCAGTTTCAAAATAGTGAGCGTTCAAGGCGACTGGCAAAAATGCCAGAAAATGCAGGGAAAAATATGAACTTACCTAAAAGATCGTCCCCAAACAAATCAGCTCAATCTCTTTCTTTCACTCCCACCTCTCTCTCTCTCTCTTACCCGGCTAGAATCAGTTATGGAATCTCCCAGGAGACCTCGTCCGGAAACTTTTCAATATCGCGCCGTAAATCTAATAGCATGAAGTAGTTTCAATTCAATCAGAGAAAGAGAAAATTAATCGTTTCCACACGTCCATAAAAACTGCATCGAAAGGTAAATGAGTAGGAAAAGCAGGATTTGAGGGCGAGCGAAACGTGAACTTTCATCAGGATGTCAAGTTGAAGGTCAGGTTGCATGTGTCACACCTGCCAATATTTGCCGGGCCGAATTTGATACAACTGTCACAAATGTCGATTCGAATTGCCATAGACAATTTCATCGAGTACTTCATTCAAACAATTGTTTCCCTTGTGGAGATGTCAAGGAGACGGCACATGTTGAGCTCTTTCAATAATTTGATTTATTAATATGTTGTTTTTAATTTAAATTATATGAAAAGTAACAAGAACAAGCTATTTATATAACGCCTGGTATCGTGGGTACCACTTATTAATAATATATCGAAATTGTCAATCACTTCAATGATTACAGGGATATACGAAAAATTCTTTTGGTTGGAGGAAAATTGAACGATAGTCTTATCTGCATTTGCTCTCAATGTATATTGGCAACTATCCGAATTTATTTATCAATATTTTTTCAGTAGATCCAACCGCCACTAAATTGTAATCGGGTTCCATCGATAACAAGCTAAATATTGAAATAAAATAAAATTAATGCCTAAAAAAACAAATTTGGAAATTTTGAATTAAAATTCCTTTTAGCAATATCTGCACACAATCTCTACGTTCTGCAATGAAAATCAGGAAGAGTCAAGGGTCAGGAATTAATGTAAAAATCCCTAGGGTTGTTATATGAAAATTATTAAGTCAAATATACGGTAAAGTTGTTGTTAATGGTTTTACTGTAGAATCAAAATATGAGCAGGAGAAAGGGATTGTCAGTGGTCAGTAATTCATGTAATCACTATTGATAGAATAGGGCAGTTATGTGTAAATTTAAATGGTTGGTTGGTTGTTGATTTTGTTTGGTGGCATATCAACCACTATGGGTTATTTTATACTTTGGGTGTTATATATATATATATATATATATATATATATATATATATATATATATATATATATATAGACATGGCCAAAATTATGGAGCACCTATAAAAATTTGAGATAATAGTTTAAACCTACGTATTTCAAGGTTAAGAATCGTACAGTGAACAATTGAGAGCAAATGTAAAATATTTAACAGTAGATTGTAGTATTTTTTTTTTGCTTTAAAGACTCTCTCAAGAGCTTTAGCTGAGTTTCGTACTAAATTCATTCCAATATTCAAAATGATTTATTGTCATACTAAAGGTTGTTTCGTAATTTTCGGGTAATATTTGATTCCTACCAGTGTATATTTCATTGAAAATGCTTCCAAAGAAGCAGCTTTCAGAGATTAAAAGAGCACAAATTGTTGCTTTATCTGGTGAAGGATATTCTCAGGTAGAAATTGCCAGGAAGATGGAATGTTCAAGGAAGGGGGTTCAAACATCGATTAAAAGGTACAAGGAAACAAAGTCTTTCAAAATCAGAAAAGGACAAGGCCGTAAAAAGTCTACAACCGCCAGGGAATCTTTGAAAAGAGCATCCCTTGCAGATAGGAGGAAAAGTTCTTCAGAGCTTTCTGCTGAACTTAGGGAGAATGCAAACAAAAACATATCAGCTCGAACAGTGAGAAGAAGGTTATTAGAAGTGGGATTAAAAGGATGCAAAGCCAGGAAGAAGCCATACTTGTCTCAGGCCAACAAGAAAAAACGACTGGAATTTGCAAAAAACCATGAAAATTGGACACCTGATGATTGGGGCAAAATTGTTTGGTCTGACGAAAGTAACTTTGAGGTAAGTTAACAGCTTCTATTTCCTAAACTTTGGATGTAATAATTGAAATTTTTATGTGAATACACATCCATAACATTTATTCAAAAATTGAAACAAATTCTTTTTTTTTCATCAGATTTTTGGCACCCCTGGAGCGGTTTATGTTCGCCGTAGGGAAGGAGAGGCATTTCTTCCTGATTGTGTGGTTCCAACTGTAAAATTTGGAGGAGGAAGCGTAATGGTTTGGGGCTGCATGGCTTCCTCAGGCACTGGAATGTTGTACACATGTGAGGGCAGAATGAACTCCACAATTTATACTAACATGCTGGACCAGGTTTACCGAACCTCTTTGACTAAAATATTTAATAATAACATTCCAAGTGATGTAATCTTCCAACAAGACAATGCTCCATGCCATACGTCAAAAGTTTCAATCAGTTGGTTTGAGAAAAAAGGGATTACAGTGATGAAGTGGCCCCCTCAATCCCCAGACCTAAATCCCATTGAAACTTTGTGGTCCCATTTAGGGAAAAGAGTGAGAATGCACAAATTTTCATCAAAAAAATTAGAGGCCAAACTTCCTGAAGATTGGCAGAAAATAGATCCTACCACCTGCAACAACTTCGTCAATAATATGCAAAAAACGAATAAAAGCTGTTATAAAGGCAAAAGGAGGACATACCAAATATTGATTGTTGTTATTAATGTTTACTCCACTATTCTTAACCTTTAAATATATAAGTTTGAATCATAATTTTGATTTTTCATTGGTGCTCCATAATTTTGGCCAAGGCTGTATATATATATATATATATATATATACCCAAAGTATAAAATAACCCATAGACGTTATCAACATCTATGGGTTATATATATATATATATATATATATATATATATATATATAACACCTCACATACATATTGCAGGTCATAAAATGTATTGATGGTAATTTTATTATAAAAATGTTATATATATATATATATATATATTGCTGGTCATAAAATGTATTGTGGGTAACTTTATTAGAAAAATTTCATTTTTTTCTTTGGGGTTCACTATTTACCCATAACTGGGACCCTAATTGTTGCGGCTCAGGGTGGAGCTGGGGACAACAGCAATTAAGATATGGTCCCACGCTCCTCAAAACCTTCAATCTTTCCTTCAGTGGTCTTGCAGTGGGGTATACTTTATATTAGTTTACTGGCATACTAATATTATAGGTAGAATGTAAAGATATTGCAAAGGATTTTACTATAAAAATGAAAATAAAGAAACGCCAATGCACAGGTGTTATCGCAAGCCTTGCTTACAGAATGGTGTAAAATATAAATATTTTAAAAAAATAAATCTATGATACAAATTCATTGAAATTAAAAAAAGAAAAGGAATTACGTCTATTATACATATATACAAAGTCTGATGAAAAAATATCGTGACTGAAGCTGTGGTAACGACCCTGCAGTACACAGAGTGAAGCCTCTTGGCACAGGCTGATCGTGGACCCTGTGGTCAATACCCACGATGTTATAACATTCTTGATCTCTTCCTTATACCAGTTCTTGGAAAGAAAGTGTGTAGAGTGTGGTCGGACAACATTTCTCAGCTTCGACAAAAAAAAAAAAGAAGATATATCCGAAGATTTTGCCCCTTACGACTTTTTTTCCTCTTTCCAAAAAATTAAATTCCACTTGAAGGAACAAGATTTCGAGACGTCAAGAAGAAATCCAAAGAAATGCGAGGGAGGAAACTGCTCGCATTCCCCAAAACGGTGTTCTAGGAACACTTCTATGAATGGAAGCCGACGTTGGATAAAGTGTGTGTCTTCAGAAAGGGACTACTTCGAAGGAGATTAGATGCCAAATTGATATATGTTGTAGTTTTCTTTGTATCACACCAGTCCCGATACTTTTGTTCAGAACTCATATATATATATATATATATATATATATATATATATATATATATATATATATATATATATATATATATATTAATATAGTTTAAAGGTATGCTATCTTTATGAGTAAAAGTTCTTATTATCAAATGTAGATGAAAATGTAAAAGTGCACACTTCGATCAATCAATCGGTGACTTTTTCAGCCTTCATCGAAAAAAGAGTGCAGGTTGGACGCTTAGTGATGACTTCAGTGTCCACACGCACACGCACACACACACACACACACACACACACACACACACACACACACACATATAACCCGTGGCCAACTAAAATAAAAAGTTAATAAAAACTAAGAAAAAAAACCCAATAAAAATGGGGAAAGGAAATATCAACCAAGAAGAAAAGACGAAAAGACAGACATGGCACGTATACACAGAATACCATTGAAAAAGGAATAGAGAGTATTCTGTGTCGAAATGAGCAAGACAGGGTAGTTACTCTACCCTGCCACTCAAGTCAAAAAGAGACAATGTTCAGACCGCTACACGAGTTTTGCGTTACCGCCTTCCGCTTGCCTGACCATGGCTGTAGAGTGAAACAGTGGTCTTAGCAAATATATATATATATATATATATATATATATATATATATATATATATATATATATATATATATATATATATCTGAAATAATGCGTAATGAAATAATTTCATATATATATATATATATATATATATATATGAAATAATGCGTCTGAATTAATATTATAAAATAGTCATTCAAAGAATAAATCAATAAAGTTAATGTAATTAATGGCGAATTCACTTCGCTAACAGATTAAGAAGGCATTAACTTATTGATCACTCGCTAAACGACAAGATCCTTGATTTATTAATTGTACTATGGATTAGATGTTCGGACCATATCATTTACAAGAGCTTTCGATTCATACAAACACCATCTTCAGGCATAGATGTTATTTTATCGCCTGAATTTCAGCTAGTTTTGAGTAAAAATTCGAAGATGAAAATAAATGTGTTACTTGTTGAAAGATGTTTTCATTATAGAAAGTGTGTTGTTATTAACAGTTAAGAATATTTTTGAACGTGCAGAAATGCAACGTTAGATTTTTTATTGCAATAATATATCAATTCATAATTTCTGTTATTGTAAGTATTTTTTCCGTTGCTGTGACATGGAGTATTGGCCCAATAATTAAAGAAATGTGTTAGAAGATTTCAGAATTTTATTTATTTACCGAAGATTGAATGTTTTAAATTTAAGAAATAATGCAGCAAT